GAGGTAGAAATATAATTCACTATATATACAATATGATATTTCCTTCGTATAAGTAGACATTTACTTGTACGTGACATTTACATGTGTTAAAATTGCGGCAAGTGTTAAATTCGTAATAGTGAGAAGAGCAGAATTTATTTTCGGAAAATATTTGCCGGAGGAGAAAATTTTTTTAAACCACTAGGTTCCTTCGATGGAAAAGAAGTATTACATAATTCTAATAAATATGTTCTTAAATTTAGAATCATTTTGCACTTACATTCGGTAATTCATTTACAAATTAAGATTTACCAAAGACTATTAAAATAGATTTAAATTGAGAAAGATATTACTTGATTTAAGAAACTAGAAACATAGATAATTATGTTTATTTAATTTTAGCACTTGTTTTTTGTACAAGCGACACGTATAATCTCGTACAGAATCAGAAAGGCACGCTCAGCGTTCGCTGTGTAATCGGAATTCAGCCGCTGCTGGCGCACATACGCGTGAATTCCGACAATGACTCTATAAATGTGAACGCACTGGTGAGCGATCGGTGTATTTCGAAATTTAACGAACCCGAGGAGAGGACGAAATCATCGTTTCGCACGGACGATGCGACACCCGAAGTGACGCCCAAAGCGACTTGACGCTGCGATTTTACGCTTCGACTTTCGCGCGCGATTATTTCCGGCACTTCCATCCCGGTTTCATCAATCCCGTCGAATTTCATTTGCCCCGTACAATTCGGTTGTACGGGAGGAGCGGGCGAGGGGATTCTTTCGAGCGACTTCAGGAATTGCAGCTTTTATCACACTCGACTTAGTTTCAAACGTTAATTTCTCGTCGACGCGAGAAGAGCGTAGGAGGATGGCGGGAACGAAACTTTCGACAACTAACGAATGCATACACGCATTCACGCGCACACACACACACACACACACACACACACACAAGATATATCTAATAAGGCATCGGTTAAGATCTGACAGCGAAAAAAAAATAATAAGATACCTACTTACTAATTACTATAGACGAGAAAACACACGTGCAGATTTAAGAATTTATGGAGGACCTTCTGTTGCTCGAATATTATTATGCATTGTCTACTATATATAAATTTTATTGTATAAATTCTGTCGAGGCGCGCCTCCGAGCGAGAGTCGATGTTTCTTTTTCTCCTCGACCCCCGTACCTTCCTGTCGCGGGATCTACGAGAACATTCGGAAGAGAGAGGGAGAGAGAGAGAGAGGCACACGCGCGCACATATACAGTGAGAGGTGCGAGGTAGCGAAGGAGGAAAGTGCGTAACATTCACACAATTGCGGGGATACCCCTCCGTCCGCGGGAGACTCGACGATAAAACGGCGGAATCGACTTATCCTTTCGTCGTCGTACGCGAGGTGCTAATCGGTTGCCAACCGTCGGATACGTATCTCGACGTGAAACTCCCACCATGGAGTCCCCGATCGCGACTTTATCGCGGATAACAATGCAGGAAGACGCGCCGCGACTGTCTCACCCGTCCGTTTGGCGATAGTGCGGACACTTTTCCCTGTATCTATAATCTACGTACAGATACACGTAGCCGAAAAGTGTCCCGTCACTGCTGCTTTATCGCGAAGCCAGATGGTCGTCTAGGCGGAACCGATCGAACTTCAAGTAGGCAGCTCGCTTCTCTTTATCTCGCCGAGGTGTTTGATCAATCCTTGTCGGGCGAGATAAAGCGCAATGAGTGAAAACAATCGGACGTTATCGAACGAAGGTTAAAGATTCTCTTCCGATCGACTATTTCAAGAAAAAGAGGAAACAAGGAAAACGCTCCTTCGTTCAGTCCTCCTCCTATCGAGGCAACGCGCCCGGTGGATTTTCCGCGCGCTCGACCCTTACGCACTTTCCTCCGACAGGACGCGCGAGTATGAGAACGGAGAGAAGGGAAGAGATCGAAAAAAGAAGGGAAAACACACGAAAATCGCACAGGGTCGAGACACTCTAGCTCGGAGACGTATCCCAATAGTTGGCCTAGTACCAAGTTTCATATTTTTCGCCCCCCCCAGGGTACGCAGTGGATCGTCGAACGATTGATCGTCTATTGTATGATTATTGACATTCTTCCAGAAATTTTATTGATAATATATAAACTTTATCGCTACCGTTGAACATAGTAATATTTGGGGGTATATGATTAGGGCGATACCTTCGGTATTTATTGGGGACACCGAGAATACTATATCGAAAGCAAGAGAGAGAGAGAGAGAGAGAGAGAGTGCGTGTATGTGTGAACGAAAGAGTGAGAAAAAGAGAATAAAGGGGCAAGAAGAGGAAAAGGAGAGAAAGATGGGGGATCGGTATTATTATTATTATTATATATATATATATATATATATNATATATAAGATATATAAAAAAGAGGGGTTGGGGACACACATTCGCGCGAGGAACGGGGACGGGTGATAACGAAACAAAGAAGATGAGGCAGTGCCGTGTATAACGATGTAACGAGTCTTTCCGGTAGAGAAACGAAAGAAAAAATACAAACAGCGAAAAGAAGGAGGAAGAGGAGGAGGAGACGCCGAGGAGAGAGAGAGAGAGAGAGAGAGTCCTCTTCCTCCTTTCGTGCGATGTAAAGCAAGAGCGGCGAGAGAGAACCAAGGTTGAGATAATTAAATATTGTACGTATGCGAGCGCGGAAATATGGTACACGAGAATAAGACCCTTTACGTTTTCTCACTCATTACGTGAAACGGTACGTTAGTAATGGATATATTATGATTACGATGATTGCTATATTCGTTGTTATTGTTCCTCGGTTGTATGCGGAGACGTTTAAGAGTGATCCATTTGTACAATCATTGAGTCATTAAAATATGATTATTCATTATGGAAGCCGTTCGCATTTCTTTCTCCCCTCGCCCACACGATCCCCTCTAACGCTCCCGGCTAACGCCACGAGCGAGGAAAAACGAGATCGTTCTACACAGTGAGGAACACTTTGTACTTGTGTTAAAGTCGATCCTCGTTCAAATCTTTATGTTAAACTGTTAAATGTGCTTAAATTTTTATGCTAATTTTTATGTTAAATTTTTAACATGTGTGTTGATTTAACATATCGTGTTTCTATTGCCACAATATTTTAAGTTGAGTTGATATCATGCCGAGTTGAAACATGCCCAGAGGTACTTGATTAAATAATAATAATATATTGTTAATATTATAACATAATAAATATTATATAATAATAAAAAACATATATAATAGAAAATATAAAAAAAATAAGATATATAATAATATTTTTTTTTATTTAAACCGCGGTTCTCATTCCTGTTAATTACACGTGGAAGCAAACAGGCTACTCTGAAAATAAAAAATGAAAAGATCGACGTTAAAAACTCCAAAAAATGATCGGTCAGTTCTCTCGGCTGGATTTAAATGCTATGCCTCTCCAAATTGATCCGAAACAAATATTACTCGAACACGTGCAGCGTAAATATAATCAGTTTTATCGCGTTGTTTTATGCGATACCGATAACATGCAGGTGTTCGATAATCCTTTCATCGATTTACGTAGTGATTAGTAAAAACTAAAGAATTGGGACACTCAATTAATCACTTAAAAACGTTTAGCCATGACAAGTGCTTCATATATACATACATATACGTATCTCAAAAGCATCTAATTTATCTCGCTTTGGCGAAACGATATCTTTAGCGAGATAATATTTTCCGCTAAATTTCAAAATTAATGAAATTTCTAAGGCGGGATAAATAATTTCGATCGAAGATACAACGAATAGTAATGAAGTCCCGGGTGGATCGTGAGTCGCGATTATGACGCAACTGCCATTTACATTTACCTCACATTACATATTCGAGTGTAATTCGCATATGCTAATTTGAAAGGCATGAAATCGCAATTTTCGCGCGTTATCGTCGCGCGACACCTGTCTTCCGCGGGTTTTTCTGTCCATCTTGTCTAATCTGATTCTAAATAAATAAGTGATCGAAACTGACAACCTCAGTCACGCCAGGCTCGGATAACGATCTGTCGTCGATAAGTGAGCACGTTGGAATGTTCGCCTACATGGTCGAATGTCAGCAAGTAGCTCCCGCTGATAAACTCGGTTGGACATTGAGACATACGCCGATTATTCATGATAGTCGCTTTATTTCGGAAGAGAACGGGATATTCTGGGATATAATAGCCGTCCGTCCGGCGCGGGCGAGTAAACGCTCTTCTTCGCGACGTCGAGGTGTCTCGCCGAGATAACTCGGGATATCCTCGAGATATTACTACTCGCGTGTGCATCCGCATATGTGCAGTCCGATGGCGTCGATCGCGCGAAACGAACCCGCGAAGTGAAGCTGTAAACGGAACATTCTCGCGAAGCGGAGCAAATCGGATCGCGGTATTGGTAGCATAACAGTGTCATATATATATATATATAAAGTTAATATTAATATTATAACATTATTTGGTATAACAATGAGGTACCTTTGCGCTGTACGTTGAAAAGGAAAAGGTATCGTCACGCGAATAACACACACCGATAATATTTAATATTAATATTTTCCAAATAATATTTTTCAAACAGTATTATTGAAATATTATTCCAATATTCGTCGTGGTGAGAGACGCGCGAATAACGCGGACAGCTTTTCCGAAATTGAGATTGCGATCGAGCAAAATCGCGAGAAGGGCGGATTGACGATAGCGAGACACGTTTCGCAGAGCGGCGGCAGATAATGTGACTCCCCCACATTCAGCGTAGATAAACATCGGAAGATAATCGAGCGATTTAAGGATCAGGACAAGACCTGATCGGTCTTCGAGTTCTCGGTTGACCAAAGTGCTCACCCGCAGCCATGAGGCATCCGCAAGTGCTCGGGATTCTGTTCGCGCTGTGTTATGTTGCGACTTTGACGGAAGGACGCACTTGCGCGTGGTACGGTGAATGTGGAAAATCAATTAAGGGACCGCGCACCTGCGTGTCTAACACCATTCCCCGGTTGATCAACAACGTGACCGCCGAGAATGAGCTGCAGAAGAAATGTCCACACCTCTTCGAAAACGGTTCGTATCCCGAGATTGAATGTCACTTGATTCGTGCGCTTTGCAGTCCAGTTAAAACAAAAAGTGATGATGATGTCAAAATTATGTCAAAATGATGAGAAAACGATCGAAAAATAAGTTTTTATAGCCATTCTCCCATTATTTTCACGTCATCGTCACTTCCCGTTCCGTCCGGAAGTGGAAGAGAAATTTATGATGACGTCCAAATGATGAGAAAATGACTATGAAAATCCGTTTTTCTATCGTCTCGATATTGTCATGATCTTTTGTCCCACTTGGATTTCTCGAGAGCGATTGTGAGAGAAAGGAAGAGCTTGCGACTCGAGTAAACAGTCGACGTCATGCTCTGATAAAACAGAAAGCGACGATGACGTCATGATGGCGAGAAAATGATCGAAAAATGAGTTTTGATAACCACTTTCTCGTCATTTTGACGTTATCGTGATTTTCTGTTCTACCTAGATGTATGCTGGTCATTCCTTAGATAGAAAATTATACGTTTTTCAGTCTTACAGTTCATACATAACCCATAAAGTTTGAAAATCGCATAAGTAACGCTCGAAACAAGTGAAAATTTTCACTCGAAGCGATAGTGAAAATATTGCCACTTGAAATCGCGAGAGTGATTCATTGACTTTAAGTTTGAAGTGGACTCCGTGTATGAATAAATGTTACAATCAATTGGAGTAAATATGTTCTTGTGAGACGGTGGAACGCGTCAGATTCACTTTTGAATTTCGAGTGAAAACGTTCACTCGACGATTCAGAATGGAGGATTCATTTTAAATGAAAAGTCATTCGAATTCGAGTAATCTGGTAGTCACTCTATTTTTTTTGAATAAGATTTTACTTTAAGAAATTTAGAAAGTACACTGAGAGAAATTATAGTTATTTTCAACTACAATTATACCGTTTTTTTATGGTTTTAATCACGAAAATAGTAGTAGATGATTATAAATATTAAATCTCTCTCTCTCTCTCTCTCTCTCTCAGTCTAAGTGATTAGAATGCGCGATATCTCTTGCAGGAAAATCGCCGAAGACATGCTGCGATCACGCTCAGATTATGACGATGAGCCATAGCATGACAATGGCCGAAGGACTTTTCGGCAGGTGTGCGACCTGTGTGAGGAACATGTTCCGGCTGATTTGCGATCTAACCTGCAGCCCTGAGCACAGTCGATTCCTCAACGTAACCAAGAAAGGCAAGCAGGGCGAGATCGAGTACGTCGAAGAAGTCGAGGTGATCAAACGCATTTCGAATCCCACCCGACCCCTGTAAGAAATTCAATCGTATCGCGAAGAAATTAATCTCGAAGAGCGGAAAAGCATTCGCATGAGAGAAATTCCATTAAAATTACAATCATCTTTGGCCTCAACTGTATCTTCTTCTGATTTTAACTCGAAAAATACAGAATTCACAGAAAAATATATACTTCGAGTAAATATTACTTGCTTCAAGTATTTCATAAGTTCATATACCCGCGTGTGTTTCTTAGGTTCATGTAACGGAAGAATATATAAACGGGACATTCGATTCATGTAAATATGTGGTTAATCCTACCACCGGCAATCTCGCGATGGATATAGCCTGCGGCGATAAAGGCGCCAGCAGATGTACCCCGAAATTGTAAGTATAAAAACAATAATAATGACAATATAATAATAATAATAATAATAATAAACAATATAATAATAATAATAATAATAATAAACAATATAATAATAATAATATATACGTTGAGAAAAATCTCATTAAATTATTGTCATTTTCGACTTCAATTATATCTTGCGATTTTAACTTGAAAAATATATTAGTAATAATATATATGTAATAATAATATGTACGTAAAGTTATTATCACTGATACTACATTTATTACAAAAATGGTTTTCTTGATTGTAATTCTTTCATTAACGCGATTATAGTCGCAAACGCTAAACATTTTTTCTTAAGGTATAATAATCATAATTATAATAATGTATAAGTTTAGAAAACCTATATTAAACACAAATGAAGGGTTTTGCTCCGTCGAATAAATAGAAAGAAATAAACAAATAAGAATAAATAAATAAGTCGGAAATGCAAGAAAGTATGCGGGAATATTACACGATTCGTGATTTACGAGGTGGTACAAGTACATGGGCGATACCAAGGCAAATACTTTCACACCCTTCCAAATGACATACGTCTACGACGAGACGGAGAAATGGGGCGAGGAACCATGGAACGCGAAGGCCAAGAATTGCAAAGAAGTTTATGATGTAAGTACGAAGAACCAAGAGAGCGCGAAATTCGCTCGAACTCCTTGAATTTCTTAAACTGAAATCTCACTCAAAACGGATGGAAGGCAATGTTTTCACTCAAAGTGATAATGAAAATATTATCACTTGAAAAATCGCAACAGTGAATGTTTCATTCAAGTTTAGAATCGATTCCGACTCCGTGAGCGAATATTTCAATCGATCGGAATGAATATATTCTTTATAGTCGACATTTTTCGGCGCGCGCGAGAAACACACATACACAACTCAGGTATATCATTTATAATTTTCTACGTGAAAGGTTAAAAATTGTGTAATAGTAAAAAATTTCGATCTAGAGAATAGCGCACATAACGCTGATTGTCATCAGATTCTCTCTTAAATTTCTAGTGAAAATATTCACTCGACGATTCAGAATGGATAATTTACTCTAAATGGGTGAAGAATGGCTCGAATTTTCGAATGACTCAGTCACTTTACTTTTTGAGAGAGACTTCACTCTGAAGAAATTCAGAGATCGAGCCTTGCCGTAAGTTCATAAGCAAATTTTAATATCATTTTGCCCACGTTCCATTAGGAACACTCCATGGCCTGTAGTTGCGTCGATTGCCCTAGCGCGTGTGCCTCAACGAAACTAGATCTCGGCACGGGTAACATCTTCAAGATTGGTGACTTGAACGGCTACGGCATCGTGGCGGCGATACTGGTTCTCGTGGTGACGATCATCGTCTCTATCGGTTACGGCCTCGTGATGAAATATCAAAAGAAAGGTACGAACAGCCGGATCGAGCTTCGACGGGAATTACATATAAAATAAAAAATAATAATATTTTCATATTTGTAATGTTGTATATATATGTCTATCTATTCATATAATAATAATATAAGAATAATATTTTCATATTTGTAATGTTGTATATATATGTCTATCTCAACTTCATTTCTTCGCTAAATTAACATTTATTATTTAGATAGCGAAATCAGTGTAGAGGGACGTAATTTTGCTTGATAAATACTAAATTTATGAGTCTCCTTGATACACCACTGAAGATACGGTATTAATGTGTAATATATCCTTAAATTCCGCTCGACACTTAAGATAATCACTCACACGTAATATCCCGCGAATACATTGCCACAAATGGTTGTTGATTACGTCTGAGCTACCGTTCAGATGCCGGTGTCGAGGATAATTTAAGTGGTATAGATGCATTATGCCGAGGTGGCTTGGTTTCACCTCTGCTGGAGATGCAGAGGCTACTCAGCCCGCACGCCACTACAAGGCGCCACCTCTTGTGCGGGTCCTCATCCAAATCCGACGTTTTTATATGTCCCCAGGTGCCGAGAAAGAAATGGTACAAAAGAACAGAAGAAATTGCGGTCAATATTGCCAAAAAATCTTCGAGAAGTCCTTCTTTGTGTGGGGAAGAGGTATTCGTGCTTTATCTTTATCTATTTATAAATGATAATATAAATTTATGATATTGTACCTACTTTTAAAATAGTATATATTGTTGCTTTTTTTCCTTTTTTAACTTTGTTTTATGAAAGAGATTATTTTCCTACTAATAATTATTTTGATTAATCCGAGTGCAATTCGAAAGCGCACTCGAAACTGAATCGAATACTCTCGATAACGTCGACGTGTGAAATAATGTTTAACAGTGTTCGCGACGTATTCCATTATCGTCCTATTCTTGGTCTCATACGTCATCGTCAGTTTGTGTTACGGCATCGGGTACCTCTCGGTGACGGTGAATCCAATCGAAATCTGGGCGGCACCGGGTAGTAGATCGCGGATGGAGAAGAATTATTACGATACTCGATTCCATCCATTTTATCGAACCGAACAGATCTACATCAAGGCTGTCGGCCTCGATAAGGTAATAGGATAGCGTAAGATTGCGGCAGCAAATCAATGTCTATTACGGCGATCACAATTGTGTGCAAATCTAACACGTTTCACTACCAGCGTTGCACATGTGTGACAACAATCATTATTTTTCTCTACGTGCACATAAATAAATAAAGTTTGTTTTATATAATTACATAAAAAAAAACATAATATAGCCTGTGGAAAGAGTTCTTCGAATAAACCGTGATAGCAAACACACGTGATAATTCAATAATAAATTAATAATATTCAATAATAATAAATAGTATATAATAACAACAATACAATGTGAGATATAATATATGATAATATAATGATGATAATATAATAAATAATAATATATAATAGTAAAATAATATATATAGTAAATATAATAATAGAATATATAATAAAGAGTATAATAATAATAATAAATAATATTAAAAAAAAGGAGAAAGTGTATTTTCTATACGAGAATCTTTTCTCACGTCTCGCAACAGATAAAGCATAATACTACGACGGGGACCTTGGAATTCGGGCCCGTATTCAACAAGGATTTCCTGCTGGCCGTGTACAAGCTGCAGGGGAAGATTCTCGAGGTATGTAATCGAGACATTTCGCCGAGCGCGAGATGCAATTGACGAGCTTTACGTAAAACGATTTTTCGCAGTTGGGTCAAGATACCGGCGAGGGTCTGGAGAAGATCTGTTATGCTCCCGTACAAAGCGAATTCACCGGGCCGGTCACTCTCGACCTCTGCACGGTGCAGAGCGTCTGGGGATATTTCCAGAACGACGTCGATTTCTTCAACAATACGCGGATTTCTGACGAATACGAAATCAACTACTTGGACCATTTGTACAGTTGCATGCAGTGAGTAATGATTAATTTTGTCGCCACGTCCCTTAAGATTTTTCTAAGAATTTGGTTTGAAGCAAAAATATTACATGATCCTTAAGGTGACAAATTTGCTCACTCAGAAACGCACTCAACCCACTCTGTCTGGCTCCATACAAGGGACCCATCATACCCGCCATAACGATCGGAGGTTTCCTGAAGGAAGGCGAATTCCAATACGACTCCGACGATTACATTAAAGCGACAGGGTTGATTTTGACCTTCCTGGTGAAAAATACGCTCAAACAGGAAGAGCTCGTGCAGATTATAAAATGGGAACAACGGTACGTCAAAGTTAACGAAGCCGTAGCCGGGGCGAAAGTCGTGCATGGAAAACAAATGTTCAGTTTCTGCAATTGAACAAGGATCACGTGAAAATTAAGTGACGAAAAGTTATATCTTTGTTACTGCAACTGAGAATATTCGTGTGAATATTCAGCTACATTAAAACTCGGCTGAGATAATGGAGAACAATTGGCCGAGTAGAAACCTCTTACAAGTGAGCACGGAGAAAAATTTTTTGCTGGCACAGCAAATTGTTTATTACTATAATGACAAAAAGATTTATTAAGAGGGAATTTATTAATTGCTAATTATGCCAACTAAATTTTATTGCCGTCGCGACGACGTTTTCGCTACAACAATAAAATTACTTTTCCCGTGTGACGGAGTTTTTTTGCCATCACTATAGTAACAAAAAACTTGCTATGTCAGCAAAAGTTGTCTCCGTGAATTTTCGTCTGATCCCCAGACAATAATAATTTTTTAAATAAATAATTTAAAATAGAAGAAAATTCAGTTGCACCAAAATTGTTTCTTCTGTATGAAAATAACGACTGACGCGCCCGACTTAAATTAAATATATCTTAAAAAGCCCGACTTAAGTTAAATCGCGCGAATATTTTAGCTTTCTCGACTTCATGGCGAAATGGGTGGACAACGATCGACCGAAATTCATGGATGTCGCTTATACGACGGAGAAATCGATACAGGACGAATTGGACAGAACGTCGAAGGCTGAGGTGACAACGATGGTGATCAGTTACCTCCTCATGTTCGTCTACATCTCCATTGCCCTCGGCAAAATTCGGTCCACGCTCGCCGGCTGTTTCGTAAGTTCCCCCTCAACGAGGTCGTCCTTGATGTCGTGGGGAGACCGTGAGACGTGTCAAAGCGCGTTCGAACGATTCTTCGATGTGACAAATTCGCATTTCAGACCAACAGCAGAATCGTACTGAGTGTCGGCGGGATTATCATAGTCATAGCGTCGGTCGGATGTTCGCTCGGCGTTTTCGGCTACATCGGCGTGCCGACGACTTTGCTCACGATCGAGGTATAATGTCTCACAATAAGCGGAAGTCAATAATCAAACGTACATCGTGCGATTTTTATCGAACACAATTCAATGTGTTCGAGAAAGACTCGCAGACTCAGTGTGCCAACTAAGCAGTGAGAAATAAATGTGCCAATGAAGGGTTAATCATGACGTCATAATAATTAATGCGCATTTCACCGTGATTTGTATCGTTCAGGTGATTCCCTTCCTGGTATTGGCTGTCGGAGTCGACAACATCTTCATCTTGGTGCAAAACTACCAGAGGAATCCGCGACACAACGGTGAAACGATAGCGGAGCACATCGGTAGGATCCTGGCCGCGGTTGGACCTTCGATGCTGCTTACCAGCATGTCCGAATTTTTCTGCTTCCTCATCGGTAACGTGACGTAACACGATAAATACATAAAAAAGAAATTTAAAATACCAACACGAAGAAGCGGCTATCTGTAATAACGAAAAATTCCGAATGTTTCAGGAGCATTCTCATCGATGCCGGCTGTCAACACCTTCGCCATGTACGCTTCGTTGTCGATTCTGTTTAACTTTCTCCTGCAGATAACCGCTTTCATCGCTTTACTGTCTCTCGACTCTGCGAGATACGAGGTAAATTATTCAGACGCTCACACGACTCATGAGGTTTTCTTAAAAAAAAAAACTAAAAATGAATAAAAAGAATCAAAAATTAAAAATTAAAATGATAAAAATATGACAGTATGAACGAACGATCGATGTGCTGATTTCCAGGCAAGCCGTCTGGATGTGCTTTGCTGTGTTAGAGTCGACAAGAACATGGAGATCGAAGATCGCCCGGGTCTAATCCACCTGCTCTTCGAGCGTTACTACACGCCGTTCTTGATGAAAACGCCGACTAGAACCGTGGTGATGATGATCTTCATCGCCGCTTTGGCCACTCACGTCGCAGTCATACCGCAGGTCGAAATCGGATTGGATCAGAAACTCTCGATGCCGGAAGACTCTTATGTCCTCAAGTATTTCCAGGTGAAAACCAACGCAATTTGTATACGTCGTTAATTAATTCTAGATTATTATCGTTAATTAATTCTAGATTGTCATCGTTAATTAATTCTAGATTGTTAACATTTAAGAGCACGTCAGCTGCAGGCAAAGAACTTTCGAAATTCGAAAAATTTTTTCATCGATGAGAGTCATCAATAAAATCATGATTGACAGGCCGCATCGCGCGATTCTAAAGAATTTGAGTTTTTTTTATCGATGAAAATCATTGATGAAATTGTGCACAGAAAAAAATTATAATAAAATAAAATTATATTATATTAAATAGATTTAAATAATTACTCCAATATTAGTAAATTTTTACGTGGATTGAGTAAATTTTATTTGGATAATGTGCATAGAAAATATTTTACTTGGATTAAGTAAATATTACTTCGAAGTAATCCAAATAACCCACGTAAAAATTTGCTAAGGAGTATTGAAGTAAATTAATTACTTGAATCTTTTAACACTTTTTTTTTCTGCACATGACTAACAGATCATACAACACGCAGCTTTAAAGAGTGTCATATAATAGCTAATAAGCATCTTTCTCGTAGTACATGGAGGATCTTCTGTCGATGGGTCCGCCGGTGTACTTCGTGCTGACGGAGGGCTTGAATTACAGCAGGAGGGATGTGCAGAACGTCATATGCGGCGGTCAAGGATGCAACGCCGATTCCTTGTATACGCAGATCTACTCGGCGGCCAGCCAGTCCTCCGTGTTAGTATCTCCGAGATATCCCCGTGTATTACCCTACAGGAGCGTTGAAAAAATATCGCAAGTCATAAATAGAATCTAACACAAAACGACGATTGCGTTTTTGCAAAAAAGTTCACGGATAAATATGACGCTCGCGATAATCTCTCCGAAGCGCTTCCGATAATTTCAGGTTTCACAAAACAGGATTGTTTAAAGATATCGTAAAATAAATTTCAAATAATTGCAGATCATATTTATCTAAAGCGGCTTCCTCTTGGATAGACGACTACCTCGACTGGTCGACCATCGACGGATGCTGCAAGTACTTCCCCACCAATGAATCGTTTTGTCCCCACAACAATGGTAAGTGACGTTGCATGACGTCAATATTAACCATTATTGGTGCACTTATTTCTTGCTGCTTGTGTGCCAAATTAGAGTTAATATCGAAGTCCGCGTGTCGCATGGCGGCACTTTCAATTTTCCTACATAATTATAATTCGATAATTATAATTGTAATTACTGATAATTATAATAACGAAAATTATTTGAATTTTCAGACAATTGCATCAAGTGCAATATTCTGAAGGATAAGTCTCGACCGACTGAAAGGGATTTCAGAAAGTATTTACCCTACTTTTTGACAGACGTTCCAGACGAAGATTGTGCTAAAGCTGGCAGAGCAGCTTACTACGGCGTAAGTCTCAATGTTATTGGAAACAACCTTCAACAACACGAACAAGAGTTCCCGTGTCGAAATTTTGATGCTACTTTGACATTCTTAAGGCGACAATTTGCGCCTGTAGATTAAGAAAAACCTACTTTGACGGTACTACTTGTAAATTTCTTTCTTGAACCTCTAAAGGGATGCCATAGTTAAAAACTTTATCAATGGAATGCTGATTTTGCTGCAAAGTTTACGTCTTATTAATCTTCTTATAAAATCTATTTACGTACAAGAAATATAAGAGTAGCGTGATGGTGTCAATGTTTATATAACATAATATTTTGAGGATCGTTTCTACATTATCAACGCCCGACAAGGTATTGACGTTCGTCATCGACTTTAACGTTTCCTTAATTTTAAAAGATTACATTTCAACGCTACCTTGAAGCTATGAATGCTTTCGATATTTTGATCATTAAATTCACGTTCATATGGATTATTTTCAAAATAATCTATTTTGACACCAAAACCAGTGAAAATGGAAGACATGAGAGTCAAAAAGTAGGAGTAAAATTATATCATTAGAATTAAACCTATTTTGCTATCTCAATTCCCAATATGTTGTAGAGGTAAAAGTTTAATATAGAATCAAAATGTCTCAACAAAAATAACGCAACCACCGGCTAACTAAAACTCTCGTCTCCCGAACAGGGGTTAAATTACTACTACGACGAATTCGGCTTGACCAATGTGGGTGACTCGTACTTCATGGGTTATCACGTTCCATTGAAAAAATCGTCCGATTGGTACGAGTCGATGCGAGCTGCCAGAAAAATATCGGACAAAATCACAAACATGATCAACGACGCCGAACTGTCGGACCAGAAGGTCAAACTGTTCCCGTACAGGTGAGTAATCTGATTTTTTTCTCTGACATTCGTCAGACAAACCGTCTCCGGAAGTGAAATTCCCGACTTTCCGGCGATCGAGAGATGATAATTTTATCATTTTATCATTTCCCGACGATGCGACCTGTTTTAGCGTATTCTACGTATTCTACGAGCAGTATCTGACTATTTGGCAAGAGACTCTTTTATCGATAAGCCTGACTCTCGTCGTAATCTTCGTGGTAACGCTACTTCTCACGGGCTTGTCGCTCTTCTCCGCGGTGGTGGTATTGCTTAACGTGCTGATGGTACTGGTGAATCTGGGAGGTCTCATGTACTGGTGGAACATCTCTTTGAATGCGGTCTCCCTCGTAAATTTGGTCATGGTTCGTATCGAAGCTTCAATTGTTGATCGTGACTCTTTTTCAAGGACAAACTCGAATGTTGTAAAAAAGATATCTTCCTATCTCTCTAACGAACGTAACGCTAGAAAATTATGATTAAATTGAATTATAAATTAAATTATATAATTGAGCCAAATATATATACGTTGTATTAAAGGGTCATTCAAGCGGTTGGTACATACAATGCTTATTATTGTTGAAAGAAATCTAATAACATAATATGGAAGAGGAGGAGGAGGTAATTCTACATATCATACAATATTGGAAGTGAGCCGAAATATTTTATGACAAAATATGACAAAGGGAGAGGGGAGTAAAAATATATAATTTCGCGTAACTTATTGTTGAATGGCCTCTAAATTAAATTACAACCGTTAATTAACTTACAATATCTACCGCTAAAAATATCGATAATTTATGATTAACTAAAACAAAATATGGATCTTTTACAGGCGGCAGGTATCTCCGTGGAATTTTGTAGCCATATAGTGCACTCTTACATCACTTCCACGGCGACGACGAGGATCAGCAAAGCGTCGGCGACACTTTGCATGATGGGAAGCTCCGTAAGTCATTCTTCATTCTTGTAGAATAAACGCGACGAAACTCGAGCCCTCGAGAAAGAAACATCGCATCAATATGATACGTTGATTTTCTCAGGCGAGGAACAAAATGGTACTTATTTGTCATCACTGTGTCACAGGTGTTCTCGGGGATCACACTGACCAAGTTCGTAGGAATAGTAGTACTAGCGTTCGCGAAGTCACAGATCTTCAGGGTGTTCTACTTCAGGATGTACTTGGGCATCGTCATATTCGGCGCGGCACACGGCTTGATATTCTTGCCGGTGTTGTTAAGCTTTATAGGTGGGTGAAACACGAACACCATATTTCGCTCGTCTCAACATTAACAATTTGAACGTATCCGTAATCATTATAATTGCAGGACCCACGTAGGGATAATTTTCATCAAACGATCGTAGCGAAAACGCCACGAAAACACCCGGATTTGCAAAAGCCGTGCGAAGCGACTCGTAACGCCTATTCGTAGATCTATTAGTGCAACCGACTGCACAAAACAATATGTAAATAACAATTAACATGTAATAACGTGTAAGTCAACTTTTAGTTGTTAGTAGAAATAATAGCTATGTAAATTATTTCGCGAGTCTGTCGAGCCTCGACTTGCGCTATTGTTACGTTCTTACGCATCCTTTTGATATTTAAATGTAAGTAGAAATCAAAACTATCATACCGATCTGTAATTTACTTCTATGTATTAACATATAGCAAATTAAACGATTTCTTTTGGAAAATTGTAAGATGCATCAAGACTGTTATGCTATGTATGACAACATTAGACTGGACATGCGATTCTCTCTGTATTATGTAACAATCCCACGATATCACAGCATGATCATTATAAATTGAAAGCATTTCACCATACATGTATCATAACACTCGTCTTATAAAGAAACAGAAATATATAGACAAGTTTTTTCAATACATCATGTTCTCCATTTTTTTAATGAACCTTTTTCCTCGAAACTTTATACAAACCTTGCACGGTTAGCCATATCTCTCACATTTGATTATATTTCTTCTTTATCTATTTACTAAGTATTAATAAGATTAAGTGACGGATCAATTGCTTGAAAAAGCAACCAAGATTTTATCTCATTGTTCACAACCGTACAGATGCCTAAAAATAAAATTCTGGCCACGAATCGAACTGAATATTCTATAAAAGGGTGAGGAAAGTCACTCGACAAGAGTTGTTTTGAATACGATATTTAATGCTTCAGTGCTGTACAAGAATGCATACGGTTTTTATATCTGCACGGACTACAACTTCCTACATTCTTGTCGCACACGTCGTTCTTGTAATGCGGGAATAATTTCAAAGATAAAATGAATTAATATGCATATCTGTGAATATCAATTTTAAGCATAAATTTAAAAGAATAACAAAAAAAGAAATATTGCATTAAGCCAGCGGCACACGATGCTTGTTTTCGTGCTGGATTGTTTGCTGGATGGAAATACTGCATTTTAATTGGTGTATTATCATTCATTTTTGGAAATGCACCAACCAGAACGCAATATTTCTATCTAGCAAGCAATCGAACACGAAAACAAGCATCGTGTGTCGCTGGCTTTATATTACTACAGGTACTAATTTACTACATAGTACTAGTAATATTCCTGAACTTCGGCTTAAAGGAGTTCGCCTCCACGAAGTCGCAAGACTAAATGCAGTGTTGACTCCTTCTGAATGTTGTAATCTGAAAGGGTTCTACCATCTTCTAGCTGCTTGCCGGCGAAAATCAGACGCTGCTGATCCGGAGGAATTCCCTCTTTATCCTGGATTTTGGCTTTCACATTTTCTATTGTGTCGGAAGCTTCGACTTCGAGGGTGATGGTTTTACCCGTGAGGGTCTTCACAAATATTTGCATACCTCCTCGAAGGCGCAGAACCAAATGAAGTGTGGATTCCTTCTGGATGTTGTAGTCGGAAAGAGTTCTGCCATCTTCCAACTGTTTGCCAGCGAAAATCAGACGCTGCTGATCCGGAGGAATTCCCTCTTTGTCTTGGATCTTGGCCTTTACATTTTCTATTGTGTCAGAAGCTTCGACTTCGAGGGTGATGGTCTTGCCTGTGAGAGTCTTTACAAATATTTGCATACCTCCTCGAAGACGCAGAACCAAATGAAGTGTGGATTCCTTCTGGATGTTGTAGTCGGAAAGAGTTCTGCCATCTTCCAACTGTTTGCCGGCGAAAATCAGACGCTGCTGATCCGGAGGAATTCCCTCTTTGTCTTGGATCTTGGCTTTTACATTTTCTATCGTGTCAGAAGCTTCGACTTCGAGAGTAATAGTCTTGCCTGTGAGAGTTTTGACAAATATCTGCATGCCTCCTCGAAGACGCAGAACCAGATGAAGCGTGGATTCCTTCTGGATGTTGTAGTCGGAAAGAGTTCTGCCATCTTCCAACTGTTTGCCGGCGAAAATCAGACGCTGCTGATCCGGAGGAATTCCCTCTTTGTCTTGGATCTTGGCTTTTACATTTTCTATTGTATCAGAAGCTTCGACCTCGAGAGTGATGGTCTTGCCTGTAAGAGTCTTCACAAAGATTTGCATGGTGGCTCTGAAACAAAATATTTACAACATTGAGTCAAGGACATCACATGAATTATTGTACATGTCATCATAACATGATTGTTATTCGTAACGTTAGAAAAAAACAATAGCATCTGTAAAATATCAGATGGGACAAAGAGTAACAGATAAATATACAACGAAATTCGTCGCTTAATTCTTATATATTCGATTATCCGATCTTAAATTTCATAAATCGCGTTAATAAATGTTTTTTCATGGCAAATATGAAATCCGAAACTTACGTTATCTTATTTATAGTTAATCGATCGTACGGAACGAAAAGTGTATGATTTGGCAAAATGGAGGACGACTCCAAGGAATGGAAGTTTCCAACCGACGCAACAACGGCGGATTTTCGCGCACGACCGATCCTATGATTCTGCTGATCACTCACCTAGTCGCTTACTCGACACGATTCGTAGTTGAGAATTACAATCCCGATAGTTCGATATTGAAAACACAAAAGACAGGCGGCAAGAGGAGGATATTTCCACGGAATATTTCTCACACGAACATAAAACGGGAAGTGACGAAAAGTGATGTTCTAGCTTCTTCCTCAGCTGTACGCGCCTGCGCTGTTCAATGATGCGCTGTCGTGGGGATAAAGTCGCGCATGCGCAATTGAACAAGCGTTACGCGAATCATCACTAAAGCCAGCGACACACGACGCTTGTTTTCGTGCTGGATTATTTGCTAGAAGACGGAAATACCGCGTTTTGATTGGTGTGTTCTCATCCATTTTTGGAAATGCACCAATCAGAACGCAGTATTTCCATCCAGCACAAAAACAAGCATCGTGTGCCGCTGGCTTCATATATGCTACCTGAGATATTTCGTTCAATTGCTAAATAACAGGTCTAATGGAAATAGCCAATCCGCCCGCTCTCGCGAAAAAGCGACAAGCGGATTGGCTGCGAATATAGTTCCCAAGTCTCCTCTATAAGTTGCTTTCATTTTATTAACGAAAAATCGAAATTATAGCCGAAATTAACGATGAACCAGGCTTTTTATAAGTCTTCTTATAAATCTGTTCTTCATAACTGTATTAAAATACACCGCGATTATGGACAAAATTCCCAATTCGATTTTATCTATCAGATCGTCCGGAGTTTATCTTAAGACAATCTGTAACCAACGAGACAGTTCCTGCGATATCTACAGATAAACCGTAGATGATTTCAAACCGGTCCGTTCTTTTTAGATAAATTAGGTTACATTTCTTGGCGTTAAAGTGAAACAAATACATAGAATCCAGCGTTGAAAAAAGAAAGAACGAAGTTTCAGTACAGAACTAAGTTCAGCTAAAAAGAACGGACCTAATATAATATCTGACTATAAACACTGCTTTATGCGTTAGTACGTCGGGTGTCACAGGCGCTCCTTCAAGTTTTTGTGAATGAGTGGGCAACTTCTAAGCTTGTTTTACATTTACGTAGGACAGGTGATTCGCCTGTGAAACGTCAAACATAAAATGCAGGACGATTTCGTTAGTGGCCGCGATACTCATCTCAAATATAGCTACTCTGTGCTTTATATGTTTATACTTATGTGTACGATGAAATAACAAATACATGCCGAAATAAGTATACAGATACGTACTGGACAGTGTCGTATATAGTTGTCATCTTCCCGACGAGACCGGCAATTCATGAACAATCATGAGGGACGATCTGATGGTGGTGGTTTATGTGGCTACGGAAGATAAAGAGTTTGATTTCCCGTACTCCTCTAACACGAGTATAGAAGATTTGTGTATCCAGGTGTGTGTGTGTGCGCACATAACATTTTTATCTTTTTCTCAGATAGGTGAGCGTAGACGCTCTTCTCATGATACGCTAAAAACGAGTCTCCTCCTTGACTTGACAACTCACACATTGAAACTCTGTTGTCGATGTCGATTGTTTATCATCGACTCATCGATATGATGATACTGTTTTCACAAAGCGACATGATTTACAGCAAGTGTCTCGCAATCATAGATAATCACAACAATGTGTAACCTGCAGTAATGAATATTAATAAGATACTTATGATTTACTTTGTTGTGCTCTTAAGAAGCTCTACTGTTATTAATCTTTAAAGTACTTTTATAAGTCGATAATTTTATATGTACGTCTATGTACTATATTATAATAATAACAATAGTGGAATTTCAGATCTGCTAACTGACCTCTGCATTATAATTTCAAAATTTTTGGATGAGCAGAGAGGAATATTATCTTTTTTTCGCTCCACTTTCCAGGTATGCAGGAAGCTTGGGATAGGTCCAATAGCAAAGTATCTCTTTGGCTTGCAATGCCATTCTTCCAAACTATGGTTTCCTTTTTGCCACAAACTCGACAAAAAAGGAAAATACAAGTTCAACTTTCGTTTGAGATTCAAGCCGTCAAGTTTGCAGAGACTGAAGCATATAGATAAGCAGGCATACAATTATTATTTCCAACAAGCTCGCTCCGATGTAATGGATAATAAAGTACCTGACATTGTTTATGAGACACACAAAAGGGAACTGATTGGCTTAGGAGTCAGCGACATGTATAGGTGAGATACACATCTGACAAAAAAAACATATTTTTACATATTTTTCCCATATTCTCAATACATTTAATTAAATTGTCCATTTCAATCGTGATAAATAATTCTCCGTAGATTCAATAATTTTCACCCACAACTGTGTAACAGTTTTTATTCTGTGACAGGGTAATGCTTGAGAAGCAATTGCCACGAGAAACTGTTGAGTCAGATTACAAAAAGTATATTCCTAAGGAGTGTGTAAAGAGACACGCCTTCTTCATTAAGAAGCCTATACGCAATGCATTGGGCAGATTATCTGGGCATGATGCTTCCCATGTCAAGGAAGAATATCTAAAGCAATTTGAATGCATGGCTCCCAACTACCCTTATGAGGAGTATAAAGCATTTATGGATAAACTGGGTCCCGATCCACCAGCTAAGATCTTACTTAGGGTAAAAATCGAGGAAGTGAAGTTCTACGATACGGACAGCCGTGAATGGAACACACTTTGTGCAATCGAGGATCTTTGCTTCATTTCCATAGGGTAATATTAAGCCTACCACAATATCCTACACAAAATATCATAATAAGTTAACGTTTCTTTGCGGAATGTGTCTTTATGTAGTATTGAAGTACAAATCAATTATATAGAATATATTGGAAAAAAAAAGTGGAATCTGTATTTAATAATTTAATCTGTACCATCAGGCAGTCTAACAACGTGGAAGTCTCGAGGAAGAACGGTATACCGACGTATCTAACGTTCGACGACAACGCACACTTAATGTCCTTTGTGTCTGCGTTGGACGGATATTACCGATTGTCCGTCAAGTGGACCTTCAACCTCTGCAGCAGTGTTATCACCCCCACCTTGGATAGACTGCACAAATTGAAGTGCCATGGACCAGTCGGGTGAGACGATCTCCATGAAATGGTGTCTAGGGTCAGACTGAGAAAACAAAAGTGGTAGAATCAAATTTTGCCGAAGTGAATCAAATTGTTTCAAGCACAACGTTCAGTCCACTAGAATAAAACATGCAGTTGCTGTAATGAGTTATCAACTAACATTCGAGAATTGCAATATGGCCAGCGATTATATCAACGTATTGTTGCGCCAACGTAATTCGTTCAGTGTAATTCGTTCAGTGAACAATATTATTTTTTTGAACGAGCTCGACCGCCGATTTTATCTCCGATTTTATCTAATCGATTTTTTTTCTCAGTGCACTCATCTGCATGTCACGTAGACGATATCTCGAGGAAACTCGCGCAATGTTTCAGGAAGGAGTTCTCGCACACCAAACTCAAGGAGAAACGTGCCAACAAAGCGGGAACTTACATGCTACGCGAGAGCGAAAGCGAGTACGACGTTTACTACATTGACGTATGCGGCGCAGATGGGAAGATATCGACGCAGAGAGTGGAGCAGGTCGCGTCGAATGAGTTCACGCTACCAAGTAGTACGGAGAGGTACAAATCTCTGGGGCATTTGATCTCCTCGTTCCAAGAATCCACCAATCCTCTGTACCTCGCGGAATGCTTGCCACCGTCGGAATATGGTATGCTCGACAAGTTCCTGGCGATTTTGTCGCACGATTTTTATTACGCGTGTATATACACAGTAACCAACATTTTGTATTTGCGTTGAAATCGATCCCTCTGAAAACTTTGGTGTGAAATTTTTGACATAGTCGTGTATTAATTTAACATATTGTGTTTGTTACGTTATCTCGTATATTGTGTTGAGTCGATATTCAACATGTGTGAATGTTAAAATAACACATTTTATATTTCAGCGTCGATTAGCGTATTATGGATATTAATTTTGTGGGGATTTTTGACATAATGTTTGTATTACTTTTCAACACTATTCACTTTACGTTAAATTAACACAAACATTTTTACCGTGTACAGTACTCCACCTCGGGATAATAACTGATAATTAGAATTTCCCGCTCACGGTATCGCACGAAGAATTTTTCTGTTTTACAGACGTATCGCCATTATTGATATGCGCCTCGGAAACGGTCGGGAACGAAGTGGCGGCGGACGAGGAGATAATCAGTAACATGTTGGAGGGCGGGCCACGGTGCGTTCAGTGGAAAGACTTGCAGACGTACAAAGCCTTCGTCAAGAGCGACGAGGACCTGGGTCGCAAGTCGCCCACGAAGCTGTACCACGCCATGTGGCGAGTTGCAAAAGGCAAGAAACTCGAGGTCGCGATGAAGGTGCTCAAGAATGAAGAGAACAACTATACTAAAGAGTTTCTGGAGCTGGCCGGCAAGTGGGGCCAATTGCGATCGGGTGCTTTAGTAAGGTAGGTACAAAAAATTTAAACACGATGAAATCATTGGAGCATGAGCGGTTGCACACTGAAAGAAGGTTTTGCTATTGAATATGTGGAATAAATAGAATAGAGTAGAATAGAATGGTATCATTTGACATATCCGAAGCTTCGGTGTAATTCGACATTTGACAGTGAAGCTCGAGGATTCGAGGTCGAATTATTCGAAGTTTCGAACTCTATTTATTCGAAGATTCGAAATATCGGAGCTGTTAATAGAATTGATTTCGGAGAGTGCAACAAAACATTGCGTAATTAGAGAGTATCAGTTTAACCTAAATAACATTAAGATGTATTAAGACGTCGTAAAGATATATTTTAAACAATAAAATGTCTAAAGGACGTTTCTGAGACATTCTAATTACAAGAGACCGTCTAGTTATAAATTAACGGACTGTTCTGACTAACTGTAGATTATACGGCATAACTGTGGCTCCTACGATCGGTATGTTGCTGGAAAACGTGCAGATGGGCCCGCTGGACAAGTATCTACGCAGCAATCCTCCGCAGACTATAAAAACGGCCGACATGGTGGAGGCAACGACCTGCTTGGCGACGGCTCTATGGCACTTGGTAAATTTATCTAAACGCTAACGGCAGTTTCACGTCTCTCGTCTTAGCAAGTTTCACTTTGTCGAGCCTCGAATCGAATTGTGCATTTACTTAGGAGGAGAATAACGTGGTTCACGGCAACATAAGATGTAGGAAGCTTCTGGTGCACGCGCACACCGCTAATAGCTTCATCGTCAAACTGACCGATCCCGGTATCTTCACTAATACAGAAGCCGAGTAAGTCTCGAGGAATAAATATTGCCGAATCGCGTCTGATGTTTCTTTCTTCTCCCTCATTTTCTTCCAACACATGATGCCTGGTTTTTCCTTCGTCTTGCGCAGTTTACACTGGATACCGCCGGAATGTTATTCGAATTTGGAATCTGCGAAACGTAATCCCCAAGCCGACATATGGGCACTGGCCACGACTATTTGGGAGATATTTTCCAGGGGGCTCTCAATCTGGAGAATATCTCCACCCTTGTATCCCAACGCTAATGTCGTCAAGAAGGTATGCTCATTATTCGAACCCTGCCTCATGTTTTGCTCAATATAAGATATTTATGTTGAACGGCGTTCTTTTGCAGTTTTATGAATCCGGGTATCGATTACCCCAGCCTGCCGGCTGTCCAAACGGCGTCTACAGGTTGATGTTGCAATGCTGGGGCGAGAACAACACGTCAAGGAAACAACCTCAGGCGATCATGCGAGATATCAATCAAATTCTGTATCAGGTCTACAATTCCCGTAGAACTCACGCTTACGCCACGGCATTCCCCAAACTCTTTAAAGAGAACTACCGAATTCTCAAGAATAAGGATGACGACGACGACGACGACGACGTCGATGTTGATATCGACGATAACAACGATGACATCGACGACGACGACGACGACGACGATGACGAAGAAGACAACCAGGATACAATGGAGACCACGGAAAACGGATCGCGAAGGAGTAGTTCGAATTTTACCGAGTATACCAACTTATCTTACGGAGACACAGACGATGGTGAGTTTATTTTAATTAACGAAAGCTACTAATCTCGCTTATCTCAGTTCTACCTGCGATCTCCTCTTAACACTTTAATGGCCGCACGTCTACGCAGTCAAACGTCGCCAGGGGCAATATTTTTAAAGAATTAATTTAAAAAAACTTTATTAAAATTCACGAAATAATTCTTGTTTATATTCATAGATCATCACACAGAGAGCGTGGTACTGGCCAATAATCTTCGGCGGTAGCATCACACACATGTTGTGTGAGCGGCCATTAAAGTGTTAATATTGATATAACAGTATAGCAGTAATAAACTATGAGAAAAAAGCACGATAATAAAAGATGTTCTTTTAAATGAAATAGATTCTATTTTTTGTCTTTAAAATAAAATAAATGTGTAACTTAGCGTTGAAGGGAAAAGGAACGAAATTCCAGCATTAGTTGAGCTGAAAGGAACAGGCTTAATGATAAATTACGTGCAATCCCCTCCTTGTAAAAATGACGATTATTCAAACGAACTAAGATTGAGAAATTGTTTTCAGCCACTTCAAGTACGAAATTGCTCATCCCTGTCGACTATACGGAGGATCTGTCGTCTTATTTGGACTTGCTAGTGCGCACAATGCGCGGCGGTACCAAGAAGCACGGTAAAAGTCGTGTTCTTCGTTCGAATCGGGAAGATAGCATTAGCGACATGATACAGCTGAAGAACGGAAGCAACAACGGCAGCGTCGTCTACGAAAGCTCCCTGAGCCAGATGCAGGATGTCTTCGAGCTGGACGCGGAGTGCAACGTGATTCTGCAAGGACTCATCGGTCAAGGTTTCTACGGCGAGGTGTACAAAGGCGCGATCGAGCGGGAAAACAGCAAGGAGGAGCCACAGCTGGTGGCCATCAAGAAGCTCAAAACACGCTCCATGGACACGGGCCAGCGCGATTTCGAGAGGGAAATTTCGATCATGAAGGTGATGCATGAGAAAATTGGCGTGAAAATCGTGCGACATTTCTCTTTAAGAACACACACGCCTTTTAGACTTTGGTGGAAACATTTACTTTTGCTGTATGACCGTGAAAGAGCAGGAATCAGTGTCTACTCTTCTATGATTTTTAGTTATAGAAACTACGAGAATGTATCAAGAATTATTCGCACTTATGTGTTACATTGTAAGAAATTTGATATTAGAAACTGTTTACTGAAATTTTGTATTACTTTAACATGGTGTGCTGCTGGAATGTGTCGAAAAGTACACAAATGTTTGTGTACAACATATGCTGACAAGGTGAATGTTAATTTAACATTATATATTTGTGTACTTTTTAACATATTCCCCATATTAAAATAACACAAAATTTCAATTGGACCGTTTTTAAAACAAAATTTTTTACCGTATGTAAATTTGTGTAGGTTCGTAATACATTCTTTTCTTAAATAAAAAACTGGGATACGTTGTGACTTGTGTATTGAAAATCAAGGAGACCATATCAAAAGACAAAGTGCTTACAAATCTTCTACCGTTCTCGTAATAAATTTCACAAATAGAGTACAAATAATTATTAACTTACCTTTGTATTGAAGTTATTAAAATTTAAGAGCGTTGTCTCGAAATTCTATGTTCAGTTCAACTAAATAAATTCTATAAATTCTATTCTTTAGTCGTTAAAATATTAGGTGACAAATCAAAACAATATTTCTTCTTGATCGTCAATGTACACTGTGTGTGGCCGATACGAAAAGAATCTAAATCTGTACTACTTAAGGGAGAGTGGAATCAATTACGCGATACTGTTGGTATCGCGTAATTGCGCGTAAAACGAGTCAATTGCCGTACGCATAATTGTCCCTCTCTCGTTTGCTTCACAGACCCTCGCGCATCCGAACATCGTGCAAATCCTGGCCGTTTTGTCGGACCCGGAACCGTGCTTGGTGATGGAGTTCGTCAAGCACGGCTCGCTGCAAAGCTACCTGGCGATTAACCGGCACAATCTCATGCCTAACAGACTGCTGGGTTTCGCCCACGACATCGCCACAGGCATGGACTATCTCGGTAGCATGAGTATCGTTCATCGTGACTTAGCGGCGAGGAACATCTTGGTGGCCGATGAGAACCGCGTGAAAATCAGCGACTTTGGCCTCGCTCAAGTAATGGGCAACGACGAGTATTACATACTACAAACTAACCGCGATCTTCCAATAAAGTGGTAAGTTTGATCAGAATGTTAACCGATTATTCGTCGTCGCTGTGGACGTCTAGACAAAAGCGATTTGCTTCCTTCCCGTTTCCCAGACAGATCGTAATCGTCGAGGTAAATTTCCGGACCACTTTTCCCACATACACCTACCGACGTCTCTCGGTCTGATAAAAAATTAATCCAACGGAAATTGCGTTGATACCAAACTCACTTCGTGACTACGAACACCTTTTGTACATATAAGGTTTTTTTCACCTTCGTCTAGTCGTTTTCGAAGATATTCAAGCTGGTAACAATTATTAATTCATTCTATATAATACATCAACTGAAATTCATCACTATGAAGCTTTATTACCATAACTAAAGTCTACTCTACCTAAAGTCTACTCTACCTCTGTTAAGTTAGCACTCCGTCGTAAAATATTGAAATAACATTTATATAGAAAGTAAGTGCCTTTTATATGCTAATTATATGCTCTATTCCCGATTTTGGTACTCAAGGTGTAGCAGAGAATCGCGATTAAAAAATGGCGAGGAAAGATCCACAAGCATGTCATAAGTACAAGAATAAAGTGCCTGTTAAACTATAGACAACGAATCGGTTCTCATAATATTTCTACATTTATGTGCTTTCGAAATATGTACGATGAGATTTTAATACTCATTCCTTTTGACAGATAATTCGTCTCAACATCCTCCTTTTTATCGCGATTTTCTGCTAAACCCACCTTGAGCACAAAAATCGCGATTAGGACATATAATTAACACATAATTAACACATAAATTAACACACCTACGTAAGTGTTGGCTCAATATTTCATGATGGGAGTGTTTAACAGAGGTAGCCTACTCACGACTTCTTACTCAGGTATGCGCCGGAAAGTCTAAGGGACGGCAAGTTCTCGACCCGCTCGGACGTGTGGTCGTTCGGCGTGACGATGTACGAGATCTTCAGCTTGGGCGAAGACCCGGAGCTGCCGGGGCTCCGACAGAAACGCACGGACGACAGCGTCGACGACCCCGAAGAAGGTAGCAGTACCAAGCTGTTGGCCGCGTTGGAACAAGGCGCCCGTCTTCCTTGCCCATCCAAGTGTCCACAAGCGGTGTACGTGAAACTGATGTACCCGTGCTGGAATTTGCAGAGCCAATTGAGGCCCAAGTTTTCCACGTTGTGTCAGGACATCCATCAGCTCCTCAGCGAATACTGAATTGTCTCTCCTCGCTCGCCGTAGCGAGTCACCCTGTCGGTACATCAGAAATAGAAACTGGCTATCCCGCTGCGTCTACCGCACCTCATTTTAGCAAATTGACGAGTTTACGGAGCTGAACTGCTTTGTAAACGAGCCCTCATCGGAACTTTGCACCTCGCACCATTTGATACCGGACGTACATATCTCGCCGATCGGACTTCGAGTTAACCCTTTACGGTCGCGGCCCATCTCGGCCTAAGGCGTACTGACGCTCGGACTACGGCCGCGAAAGGTTAAAATTTAGAAAGAAAAATCCGCCTAAGCACGCGCGAAGATCAAGGTTTCCTCGTCCTCATCCTTGCCCCGGAAGGTCAATTCGCGCGGAGCTGGAGAAGCTGTCGCCGCTCTCGACTTCGAGGTAAGAGAAGGCCTCCCGCCTGTCCGAGGAGGAGTCGGGGAATCATTGTGGATTGAAGAACGCGATATCGAACACGCATCTCCCATAGCAAAGGTGTATCTAGTCGACTATCGTGTCGCTACTTTATTATTCTACCGTGTGAAATAAATGGCCTCAGTATTTTTTCAATTGCCGATTTTTCCCTTTACTCGTCCCTCGCTATTTCACAGCGCAATCGAGATCAACCGTCAAGTGTTTCGGCAAAGTAGTGAAGTAAGGTGAGCGCGACGCGCGAGGTAAGTAATTGTCGTTCGCGCGCAGGGGATGTTTCTCTTCTCACGTTATTATTCTCCAATTGTACAACCAATTGACGCGCCGTCGATCGAACCCCTCGGCGCTCTTGAAATATTCTCGCTTCCCTCTCAAATGCATTTTCCCTCGGCATAATACCGTCCGGAAATATCGCGGAGGTACGAGAGAAATTGCGACAGGTGTGGATAGTCGTGCGGTATCTGACCAAATATCGGGCGAATTATCGCGAGGGAGTTCTGAACAATCGCAACCGGTACTGCGCTCAGTCTGTCCGCGTACTTCGAGGTAGATGGAACATCCCGAGGAGCGTTACTACAAGCTGTGCCGATTTTTCCTGGCGGCTAGTGGACTATGGCCGTATCAAAGCGCGAGGGGCGCTTTTGTGATGAGAGCCGGGATGACTGTCGTGGCATTGTCATCCATGTTCGTTCAGGTAGTCGTGAAATCTCAAGAAATGTGTCATTTATTGTTATCTAAACGTGACGATTACTTTATTCGAGTGACGCCGCTGCTTCATCATGAGACTGTACGCAGGTTGTAGAGGGCTTTCATTTCATTTCTATTCAACTTTGCTCATCGATGAATAATTGTAGCGGGGAGAACTATCCCTGAAAAAGGAAACATTATTTTAGTCAAAATCGTCGAGTGGGCCAATTCATCCTTTGACCTCTCGCATATTCCATCATACTTTATCGTTATTTGGGAAAACGATGAAAAATAATTGTGATAAATATTAATTTACGATGGGATAACATATATTTTAATCGAAATTATATTATACACTTTGCCTCACACAAGTATTATAATACATATAAAATTTGTAAATCAACAGAATGCAAGATGATCCAAATTAAAATTTCTATACAATCGTGCATATTGAAATCTACTATGATTATCATTTGTCGTATCTTTTCCCAATTAATGACCTACAGCAAAAATACGTCATATTCTATAGATATTACGATATCCTATTTTTCTATTTTTCTATTTTGGATATTTTCTATCGTGTGTGGACAAAGTATTTTGATTATTTTTTTTCAGTTGGCGAGTATTTTTACATCAGAGATTACGATGAATTACTTGATTGAGGTTTTATCGTCATTCACACCTGCACTGGCCACATTGGTTTTTTTGTACATATATGTCAGACATATGGACAAAGTAAGTTCGGTCTATATATTTTTCTAAATGTTGAGTCAAAAAGTTCAACCCGATTTTTATCGGAGAAAAACTGGTTTCCTCCTTAAATATGAATGTTGCAAGTATTATTCATGAACATTGGCGAAAGATGATGGACAACGATAAGTTTGTAAGAAGTAAGAAGCCCCATTTTTCGAATTTATTTATTTTGATAGTCTACTGATTTGTGATAGGTTTATATTATATAACACAAATCAACTGTCCAAATAAACAACTGTCAAAATAAATAAATTTAAAAAGCGGGTGGCTAACTTCTTACAACGCAACGACAACGATTAACTGGTTAATGAATAATCTATTTTCCGAATGTAATAAATTCAAATCTGATTTAGAAATCAAGTCAAACTTTTAAATTAACTTGCCATCTACGTCTACGTCTTTTTTTTGCGCTCATTATTTTGTAATTTATTTATCGCCCGCTCATTTCGTTACATCCCATACAACACCGATCTCCAAAGAACCTCCTAAAAATGTCCAGAGGATATCCCTATGTCTCAAGAAGATCCATGGGATGATCTTCGGATAAAGCGTGTTGTATGGGATGTAGTTTCATTTCCATGACATACATGTCGTTTCACTTTCGTTTAGATTAAAGAAATGTTCGACCGCATATGGAAAGACTGGGAGTTACAGAAAATAGACAACGAAGTGAAAATTATGCAAAAATATGCTGGAACTACGAGATCAATATTATTATGTTACATGAGTAAGGGAAATATTGAATTTCGTTTTACACACAAGAGGAAAATACGGCCTTCTCCTTTTCCTCTGTCCGTAAGGCCGAAATTATACTTCTGCGTGTGAAAAATAATGACAACTTCTGCTTTATCAATATGTTACATATATTGTTCTTCAACGTATAACACACAATGTTTCTGCTAACGATTCTCACTTTCATGATCTTTATAATGCATTCATTATATACAATCAGTATCATTAAATTGAATTGGTGCAGAATTTCCCAAGGGTGACTTAGTGCCGAATTAATTTGCCACTCACCCCTATATGTTTTCCTTAAATTCTTCCTCTTCTTTCATACTCGATTATTTTTTCGACGTTTCTTTAAAAAAATATATATATATATCATTTTAAAAATATATTAAATTAATATATATTTCGTAAAAAGTATATGTTTTTGTCAAGAGGTTTACGTTTTTTACAAATTTTTCAGTTCAAACTTATGGGTCTGGCCTGGTATACATAGTATACTTATATAAGCCGGACATTCTTGATGTAATATCGCCTATGAACGAGTCTCGTCCGCGAACTCTTTATTTCAAATTCAATTACCTTGTCCCTACGGAGCAATATATTTCTCTCATTCGATTACACATATTCGTCGTGATGTTATTCGTCGGATTATTTTTCATTGCCAAGACGACTCTGTTTGTAGTTGTAGCGCAACACGTTTGCGGGATGTGCGAATTGCTTGGGTAAGATGGTTCTTCTCGCTTGATTTCTATTTGCGAAAGAGCAGACGACTGACGTGGCCCGCTATTGAGTAGGAAAAACTCCGTAACTTATTCATTAATTATTCCCTCAAATAATTGACGTGTACGCGATCGCGCAACGAATAAAGATATTGGCATATTTCAGGAGCTTTTTTGACTTCTCGTTTGGTTTCTCGCAAATGATGATCAAGTGACCATACTTGCGTTTAACGCGGCAGGAATATCGTTCCAGTAGGCACGATCGATGAGAGTAATACTGATGAAAATTTCAACAGGTATCGCGCAGAGCAGTTATTTTACATCGATGAGGATACAGCAGGGCGCAGTTTAAGTCACAGGAACAAATTAATTTACAGGAATATTGCAGTTTTCGTACGGTTGCACAATAACATCATAGAGTTCGTATTTTCATTCGAAACACGCGTGTTACCTCGCCAGACAACACAATGTCCAAAATCGGTTTATAAGACGTCTTAGAGCCATCTTAAAGATATTTTAAAGATATCCTATATCCTGATTTTAGATATCGTGCTGTCTGGGTTAAATTCAGTGCGGCATAGTTATTCCTTTTTCTTTTCTTTCACGAGCAATCTATGCAGCAAAATATTGTCGCCAGTGAGCGAATTAAAAAATTTAATGATTAATTCACCGATTAATGTAGTTCTATGTCGTTTCTATGTCGTTCTTAATGAACGAAGGCCTCGTTAGTTTTAAGTCAAATTATATTTCTCAAACATTGTGTTTCTTCTTCACCGTTGTTTTAACGTTCGAGTAGTAAAAACATCCCGGTGTGCCATATTTCCTATTTACTATTTTAATTATACGACTGGAAATAAATTATATCTAAATCATTTCACGACTATTAACGCATATGACTTTCTTCCATATTACAAGATTCGTTAACGTAATCGAACATGTTCACACTTTACCGTTTCTATTGGACTTACTAGGAATAGTGATAGTGCTGAGCCTTACATTAGTACAGGTATATTAATAACGTTATCGTGCCGTTAAAACATAATTGGTATGTCGAAACGAAAACTTTTAGGTAGTTTCTATTTCCGGCAATATTGAGCGAGCTATTAGATCTATCGCATTCGCTTTCGTCCAAATATTATATCTCTCCCTATGTAATTATATGGGTCAGCAGATCACAGACAAAAGTTCGAGTTTATGTGACAAAATGTGAGTATAATATACCTCGGCCGGTGTAATTATTCGTCACTTTTTCCCTGGAAAAAGTTTTCCATATATAATTAAATATAATTATATATAAATTATAAATTATATGAATGCGTGTAAGACGTCTTTTATACATAGAATAAATATATAAAAATGTATAATTATATAATTATATAAAGGATGATACATATTCACGTATTATATACAAATATATAAATATTAATATATAATTATATATTTTTATGTATGGACATATTCTATACATAATTATATATGAGACATTTTTTCCCCGGGTTATCAGATATATTAATTACGATGTAAGTTCCACAAATCAAATATAAGTATTCTCTAATATTAATATATCAAGTTATTAAATTTATCATATAAATAACGATAAAATTATTATGTAAATAACATTATATTTTTATATAATAATTTATAAATAATATATTAATTAATATATTATTATATATTATAT